GGGTCATTCCCAATACAAAGAGATTTTTACTCCAGGTAAATTTAGAGCACATGCAAAGAAATTCTTACTCCAGGTAAATTTACAGTGTCTACAATGAAGTGGAAATTGAAAAAAAAAAAAAGAGATTAATCATATTAAAAAAACGAGTTTTGGAGGACCATACCACATAGGCTTTTGAAGCTAAAGCTTTTGGATCAGTGAATCTGGAGGTGGGGCTGCTTGATGTAATGATAATTTTCTGGAAAACATAGAGAATTTAGAGAGTAAGGCAGCAGAATTCCTTGTCATAGTTCTTATAAGACGACTTCAACAATATTAAGAAAAAAAGCAAGATAAAATGAGTTCTACCTTTGCGAGAACAGGGTTGACCCATTGATGACTCCCGTAAGATGTACCAACAAAGTGCAGCACCCCATTGCTATCCCCATCACGTATGTACTGCAGCTCCTTGAAACTAGACTTCCGGTGTTGGAACCTTGAATTAGAGGTGAAAAACTTTAATAACTGACCAATATAGATATATAAACCTGGAAATGTTTAAGATAACAATTCTTACATAGGTTCATTGCCTGGGCATGTCAATCTGGAAACCAGAAAGCTAGATGCCTCCTTCACCTGTACACAACACATGTTAGAGAGGGCTAGGAGAGAAGAAAGGTCTAGAAATGACGAACAATATTCTGCGAAACAAGATGCAAATAGATGTGAAAAACTTACAAGACGATTGAATGCCGAGATATGTCTGCTTAGGTTACTGTTTTCTAACTGCAAGATCATTAAGCATACATGACATCAGCATAATCAATTTTAACAGAAAATCATAAAGTTCATCAAGGTCAGGATCTGCTTTACCCTCTCAAGCAACTCGTATGGCAACAAAGAGAAGCGTACATGAGGCAACAGGTCATCAAGTGACTGAAGCCTTTCTTTGAACAACATTTCCAGGTTAGAATAGTTCATTAGCTCATCAATAACTTCCCAACCGTACAATTCCTCAGCTTTCATGCACCACATGAGAACAGCATCAAGAACCTTTTCCTCGGATGTCACTGTCAGATCTGCAGACTGTAAATCCAGTATTTAATACTGTTTGCAATGTTTTTTATACGAGGCACAAAGGAAGGATACGTTTCACTCATCACTTGGTTATGCCCATTACAGTTCCATAGTTATTTCTGGTTTTGTAATATTCTGTAAATATTTATTTCCACGTTAATTAACAATGATCAGTTGATGAGCAACAAAATTTTTCCTCAAGAACTAAATGTGGCAGTTATTTATTGGTCAAGTCCACGTTCTAGGAGAAAGAAGGTTGGTGCAACAGAAAACAAACCTCAAGAATATCACTGAATGTGGTCTGATCTAACAAGACAAAGTCCATACTTGCAGTGGTACAATAGTCGAAGTGCATGGAGAACTTCCTCTTGCACATCTCCTCAATGAGTTTACATGATGAGATAGACGAAACCACTTGAAGAACCGAGCATACAGAATCCTGCAACAAAGTTCAGAGATTAGCTTGAGAAACGTCCCTACTATTTTTCCAAATTTGTCTGCTTCCGCGCCCAATAAACTCGCATAAAAGAATTGTATGACCTTCTTCCAAAACGAGATCTCCATCCCTGCATGTCATATATACATGGACGATATTAATATTTCGTGACTGTGTATGCGGTAAAAGCATTCTCTTTGTTTCATTTCTCGTTATTTTTCAGATGGCTGAACTGCAACTCACTTCACCGCTTGTTATGCTTTCTATCATAAAGAAAGCACATTGTAACAGAAGCACTGGAAAATAAGAGAACCATGACAGTGACAGAGAAATTTATCAGTTACTCTAGAGGGGTTGCAAAGAAAAACTACCTCTGAGAGACACTCCAAGAGCATTTTGCAGCATTCCTGATGAAGTGGAACAACTCCAAACCGGTCGGCTAGAAAGAGGAGATGGATCAAATTGGTACCAAAATTCACCGTGTCTTCCATGTTCAACTCTCCGCTATACATGAAATTAATCATAGCCTTAAAGGCTTCTGGTGATACGTCAGTTAAGCAAATCTTTGACGAATGGCTTTCACTCATCCCATTGGTAAACATCTGAATGTTCAAAAAAAAATTAAATTGAGAATCAGATTTTTCATGTACATCAAAACTGAAACCCAGAGGAGAATTTTTCACCTTTGCAAAAGCGACACTCCAAAGACTTAGTATAACTTTGTGAGATTGGAAAGTGAGACCATGGTCACTGAGATAGATTTTTATGTCACTATACTCGCCAGTTGAGTGCAACATTTTCAGCTTGCGCACATCAGCAGGGAAAGCAGTTGGGAACATAAAACCAGACAGGGGGTGAGAAATAGGACACGAGAGTTCGATTTTTTTGCAGGGGTCAAATGCTTTGTTGCTTAGTTTTAAGCGGTCTATATTTTCTTCACATTGTCTCACTAATGGCATCACTTCAAAAGTAGAACTTAAATCCCGCAACAGAGCAAGTTCTGATTCCAAAATCTGCATCAAAAACAAAAAAATTCAAGTAATCATGAGGAAGATGAAGAATCTACAAGCCTAATAAACAAAAAATGGTTTCTAACAAAGCATTTCACCTGGCAGAACAACAACACCTCCCAACTGAAACAAAGGTAATCAATTTAAGAGCAGAAGATAAAAGAATAAGTACCTGAGTTCGTCCCGTATAGATATATAGAAGAAGTGCATGAAGAATTGGGTACGATACTCGACGGAGTTGAATGACATCCCCATCTGATGAGCTCAAAGGAAAACTACCCGATGCTTGTAAGATAACCTTGTGAGCAGGAACATCCATTTCCTCTTCACCAACAAGAAAGATTGTGTCTGATAATTCCCAACTCTCCAGAAAATTACCAAGTCCCCATTGCTCATAATCATAACCCGTCCCTTCTTCCACGAACTTCTCATCACCAGACTCATCTCCTTTAACTTCACGGCAATCCACTTGCTTCCACAGCAAGATATGATTGTTTGTCACAGGAAACACACTGACATTTCTGTATCCAACATGTTTATCCCAGCTGCTGAGACCAACATACTGGACATTACAATTGGGCTTGGAGTCTTGCCATTGAAACACCAGGTTCTGAAAGGGATACCGACCTTTACCGATGCTAATCAACCCATCATAGATACTGATCCAGTAACTCTCAAACTCCAAAGAGCAACAACATAGATCAGAAGCTTCCTGATCAACCACAGTTTTCCCATCTACCTGAATCTTGAGCCTACGGTTCCTATTGCTACCAATGATGACAATGTAATGAGGACTATTGTCTTTCTTATAGTGGTAATGTTGACTCCCAACATTCTCTCTAAACACCACGGTGACATCGTTGTGAGCAAAAGCATCAAACACAACGCAGCCTCTTCCGGCTTCCCGGAACTTGAGATCATCACTCCAAGCACACTCGAAAGGTGCAACCGTCAGAAACTTGTTCTCTTTGGCCGCAACCATCTTTTTTGTTCATAAAATCCCTTGTGTGTGCCTAATGATATTTCCAAACCCAGAAGCTATCAACCTCTATATAACCAAAAAGCCAAAAAAAAGGAGCAAAAATAGAAACCACACTCATTCAGTCATTTACACAAACACATACATGTAAGATCAAATCAACCAAAAACCACAGATCACAGCTAAGATTCCTATTTAATAAACGTTTTGAGAAGACCATAAAAAAACCCCATCGACCAATTCGTTTTGTTTTATTTTAATTTCAGAAACGTCATTTTCAAAGACGAGGACAGAAGAATCAGCTAGAAAACCATCAACTTGGCAGAAAATATCTGAATCCATTTAAAACGTACAAACTGGTGACTACCCCACCATGAAAATGAAAACTTCCGCCGTCAATTCTACACCACAACAATAGAGACACGAGATAAACAACTGTTGCAGAAATATCAGATGCAACTTCCAATACAGCCAAAAGATTTACAAACAAGAAAAGGCAAAATCGATTCAAATCGGATATATAAAGAAGAGGTGGATTGGATAAGCGTTACCTTATAAACTGTCGTGAATCGTGTGACTCGTGATCGT